TATATATCTTTATCTTACTTTAATTTATAATTGGATTCATGCAAAATTTTATAAATTATTTATTTAATTTATTTTTGGTTAAATCATTAATAAATATTATTCTCTTTTAAAAAATTGTTTTGCGTTATATAATAAATTAATTAAATGATAAAGTTTTTGAACTTTATAGTTATACATTAATAATTTTTTTATTAATGCGTAAATTCGTCAACCAATTTTTAAAATTATTTTGACTTGTCACCGGAGAACTTTTACACTGTTTTGCATGTTTTATTCAAAGGCGTAATCTCTAAAGAAAGGTCGTCTCTGCAGTGGAAGACTGTTGTTCCTGGTGATTGGATATGGCAAAAGTGAAGAATTTTAGTCTTTCTACGTATTTTTTAATCAATAGTTTAGTTAGGGCTTGAGAGGTTTAAGCTATTCATAAATGAATAGTTGAAGTTTTGAACGAAGACAGAGCTTAGACATTCAAAAGTAAGGATTTAGAACGAAGACTCAGCTTGAGATATTCACAAATAGGAATCTAAAAGGAAGACAGTCTTCCTTTTAGATTCCTATTTGTGAATATCTCAAGCTGAGTCTTCGTTCTAAATCCTTACTTTTGAATGTCTAAGCTCTGTCTTCGTTCAAAACTTCAACTATTCATTTATGAATAGCTTAAACCTCTCAAGCCCGAGGCATTCACAAGTGTGGATCTACAGGGAAGATAGGGCTTGGAACATTCACAAATAAGGAAGAGCCTGGGAAATTCACAAATGGGGATATAGTAAAAAGACAGAAGCTGTGTGATTCACACCTACAAGGACCTTTCTAAGAACTAAAAAAAATATGTGAATAATTAGCAATTATTTATTGTGACATGGTCACAATGCCGGGCTGCAATTTTTAATTATATTTTTATCGATTTCATTTAAAATATATGCTTTCCACCTCAAATTAGTACTGGCTTGCTTCTGTACATAATACGTTTTCGTTAGCAATGAAGTCGTGCCGGTTATCTAATAATTTCTTTCAGGAGAAAACTTTTGAATTTAAATAACCCGGTTTATATTGGAAGTTCGTATGTAGTTAATCGGGTCCTCCTGTCCTTAAGGTTTTCATATCTGATTTCGGTTTTCATCTGTTTAACGCCATTCTCGAGTTTAAGGAATGACAGACTGATGGCAGCGGGAATTTTTTTTAACGTATGCAGTACATTACCTCCAAAAACCTGTAAGCATGTTAGAATACATCTAAAAAATCCCCTAAGAGTTTTCTCTGTTTTTCCTTTTAACCAATGAAAATAAGTTTCACTTTCTTTTAAATTCTATTAACTTACAATAATATTTTTATAATAATGCAGAAATAATTACAATTACAAACAAACTTCTAAATATGACTCATTTTTTACCTCAAATTCAGTGTCTTTCTAGACACGAAAAAAACCCCTCTAAATCTAAAGGTAAAGCATCCAAAAAGGTAATTAAACAATCACTAGTGCGCTAATTTTCGCACTTGGATTTTAAAAATTACCATAATTTACTGGTAAACCTGTAGCTTTTTGAAAATTTAATAAATAAGCTTTAATAGTGTATATATATATATATATATATATATATATTTATTATTATTATTATTAAAGCTGATACAGCACATAGCAGTACAATAATTTCCTCGTTATAACACTGACAATTCCGAATTTAATAATTTTATATAAGAAAATAATATATCTACATCTACTTATTTTAATATTTTTGGAATTTTAAGGATAAAAGTATTCTAAAATTATCAAAATGTCATTTATTTTTGGGATTATTGTTCTATTTATATTAATATTAATCGCCTTATGATAAGATAATTTTATTTTACTTTTTTATGATATACTTTTTTCTATATATATATAGAAAATATTTATACATAATAGAATATAATTGATTTTTCGTAAAATAAAAAGTTTCAAATTATATTATTATTATTTTTATACGAAAATATTGTTAATTATTTAATTCGATTTATTAGATAATTTAATAAATTTTAATATAATTTATTATAGAGCGAAATGCTTTATAAACGCAACAACATTATTTAATTACATCTTGTCTTCTCCTTCGTGATCAATTTATGTTTAATATAATGTGATATTAGTGTTTTCTTTCATCCTATAAATTGCCTAAGAATTAATTCATTAGGAGGGGAAGAGGAGAAGGAGGAAAAGAAAAAAGAGAATAAGGAGAAAAAAGGTTGAGAAGAAATAAAGAGGATCAAAAGCGATTTTCGTTAATTCTTGTGCTCTCTTCACCCTTCTATTCCACATAATAAATGAGAAGACAGAATTGCTGCTTCTTCTCCTTGTGTTTTCCTTCTATCTTCTCCTTTCTTAAGTTTCTCCTTCTACCTTTTCTTTTCGTGTTTCTTCTTTTTTGTTCTCCTCTCTTATGTTCTCTTCTACATTTCTCTTTTTTTTTATGTTTCTCTTTCTACCTTTTCCTTTCTTATGTTTGTCCTTTTGCTTTCTTGTGTTTCTCCTTCTACTTCTTCCTTTCTTATAGTTCTCCTTCTTCTATTGCACCTTATCCTTCCCATTTGTCCTTTTCTTTTCTTAAAAATAACCTTTAAAAATATACATTCAAAAATAAATTTAGCTTTGTCAATTATTAGAATAATGGAGAATAATAATAATTAAATATAACGTTTTCTTTGTAAAGAAAATTATATTTTAATGAGATACTTTTACTTTTACAACATTTTATGAGTATATAAAATAAGGAAGAAAATTTAAATAATTAATGATAAATAAGTGAAAAGTTTATTAAGTTACTTAATAAGATTGAAAAGTTAGAATCTATTTTCAGGTTTTGAATTTTGTACAGTTTTAAACTGTAATGTAATATTTAATTTTTGCTTGCTTTACCTAAAATTAAACCAAAGAGAAATAAAAATATTTCATGTACAGCTTTTGAAAATATATGTCCTTGATTCATAATCACATGAAAAAACGATGACGTCAATCATGAAAGTCATCAACTTTCTTTTCTTTTTTTTTTTTCTTCATCTCTTTCCTCATTTACCTGTTTCTCATTTCGTTTCTTTGTTTAACCTTTTTTTCTACTCCTTATCCTTCTTTCTCTCATTCTCTTCATCCTCATTCTTCCCTTACTCCTACTTCATCCTATTCCATTTCCCGTTCTCCTCGTTTTCTTCATCCTCCTCCTCCTGATCTCTCCTACTTTTCCTTCTCCTTTCTCTTATACTTATCCTCCTTTTTCAATTTATACACAGTATACTGTGTATATACAAGAGTCAATTTTAATTAAATATTAACTTCTTATCGTGGAATGTTTTTCACAATTTTCGTAATTAAAACTC